GTGAATGGTTCATTGTATTCGTATCTAGGGCTCACCCAAATAACGATCAAGCAACCAAATCGGCAAAGAAGGTATATGCTAAACTGGAAGTTGAGTTCAGCTCCAAAAAAAGAGAAAGGTAAGCATTCAACTTTAACAGTTTTCTATAGTTTAATGAATGGGTTTGGAAAACATTGAATCATGCGAGTATGGTGATGTCTTGGAGAAGCTGTGTTGCAGTGACATCTTAAATTGTTTGCCGAAACTTACACACTCGCCTCACCCACTGTTGGATTGACGATGATGCTATTTGGGGCAAATTATGTTTATTTGTTTCTCTCACTGAAAATGATCAAACTACCGGAAAAAAAATGTCTTTTCTCCACCTAAGTAATATAAAGATTATGTATTATACTTTCTCGATGTTTAATGTATTTTGAGCTTTCCTTTTCTTTCGCTGCAGAAAATCTATACAAATGGATTGCTTCTGTATGCTTATTCTACATAAACCATTTTTCTTTCTCAACTTTCTGAAAACTCTGCATTTATGAAAGATAGTATGTTACGTGATGTCACTAATTTTATTCAGTTACAGAAAAGTTTCTATTTTTTCTTGGATTTAACAAGTAGATATTCTGATTGTATGAAAATCTGGTTGGAATAGATTTGCAAGGAACTGTTATTGCAAATTTTATGAGATATCATTCTTGTTAAATTTAACTCAATATTAGCATCTTCATTCTTTTTGTTTTTGAGATAAATATTAGCATCTTCATTCTTGGTGCTATATGACTGAAGAATCAGAAATATTGCACAATGGACATACTTGCCTGTATGACTGCATAGATTGTTGTGCATGCATGAACATTTCTTTTTCGTGTGTGGTAAGGCAAGAGGGAGGAGGGAGGGGGATATTTGGAGTTGGAAAATTTGAGTTGCCTTCTAGTGCTATTCACTTAAAAGTCCTCTAATATTCTTGACCTATGCGGTATCTAGGTGCTGCAAACTAGATATACAAGCCCCTGAAGCAAATTTTTGGGAAGATTTGGAAACCAAGATTATGGAATCTATCAGAAATACATTAGACAAACGTGTACAATTCTATGAGGATGAGATACGCAAGCTTAGTGAACAGCGCTTCATGCCTGTCTGGAACTTCTGTAATTTTTTCATTTTAAAGGTTGTTTCCAATTTGAATTTATCTTAACTAGTGGGATGTGGTTATGCAGTACTTCAGCTGCATATTTACATTCGTCATTTTTTCCTTCTTGTCTTTTGTCAACAATTAAATATTATATGCAATTTAAGGCTGTGTCTCCTAAAACTAATACTTTGTCCTCCTGTCAGGAAAGTTTGGCTTTTATGTTTGAGATGGCTCACCTTTATGAAGATGCATTGCGTGAATATGATGAGCTAGAACTCTGCTATTTAGAAACAGGTGCTTAATTGTAATTTACATGCGTTTATGTTATCTTGCTTCTACTTGTTTTCATTACAATATATGATGCATAATGGATAGAATTTCTAAAGATATTAGGAATTATATTTCTAGATAATCTACAATTTATTGTGAGAGTATGGACAGTATTAGGTCTTTGGTAACTTCAAGACCTTTTTTGGGATAAAAGAAGAAATGTTATTAAAGGTTACGAAAGGGAATGTGTAAGAAACTGTCAAGAAAGGCAAATATGTGAAATTGCCGAGCCAGCTAGGGTTAGAGTTGATAAACCCTAACCATTACCATCAAGATCTGCGGCTACCACTTCGACCAAAACGGCCGTACGATCTCAGTTTTCAAACACTGATTATCTTTATTACCTACAACCTATAAAGACCCGAACTCTATGCATGTAATCATCAAAGAATAAAATAGATTTTACCTTAAAATTTCTCTCTTTTTCATTTGTCTTTCTCGGTTTA